TAAATAAATAAATAAATAAATAAATAAATAAATAAATAAATAAATAAATAAATAAATAAATAAATAAATAAATAAATAAATAAATAAATAAATAAATAAATAAATAAATAAATAAATAAATAAATAAATAAATAAATAAATAAATAAATAAATAAATAAATAAATAAATAAATAAATAAATAAATAAATAAATAAATAAATAAATAAATAAATAAATAAATAAATAAATAAATAAATAAATAAATAAATAAATAAATAAATAAATAAATAAATAAATAAATAAATAAATAAATAAATAAATAAATAAATAAATAAATAAATAAATAAATAAATAAATAAATAAATAAATAAATAAATAAATAAATAAATAAATAAATAAATAAATAAATAAATAAATAAATAAATAAATAAATAAATAAATAAATAAATAAATAAATAAATAAATAAATAAATAAATAAATAAATAAATAAATAAATAAATAAATAAATAAATAAATAAATAAATAAATAAATAAATAAATAAATAAATAAATAAATAAATAAATAAATAAATAAATAAATAAATAAATAAATAAATAAATAAATAAATAAATAAATAAATAAATAAATAAATAAATAAATAAATAAATAAATAAATAAATAAATAAATAAATAAATAAATAAATAAATAAATAAATAAATAAATAAATAAATAAATAAATAAATAAATAAATAAATAAATAAATAAATAAATAAATAAATAAATAAATAAATAAATAAATAAATAAATAAATAAATAAATAAATAAATAAATAAATAAATAAATAAATAAATAAATAAATAAATAAATAAATAAATAAATAAATAAATAAATAAATAAATAAATAAATAAATAAACAAATAAATAAATAAACAAATAAACAAATATACAAATAAACAAATAAACAACAAAACAAATAAACAAATAAACGAATACACAAATAAACAAGTAAACAAATAAACAAATATACAAATAAACAAATAAACAAATAAACAAATAAACAAATAAACAAATAAACACATTAACAAATAAACAAATAAACAAATAAACAAATAGACCAATAAAAAAACAAATAAACTAATAAACGAATAAACAAATAAACAAATAAACAAATAAACAAGTAAACAAATAAACAAATATACAAATAAACAAATAAACAAATAAACAAATAAATAATTGAACAAATAAACAAATAAACAAGTAAAGCAATAAATAAATAAACAAATAAACAAGCAAAGCAATAAATAAATAAACAAATAAACAACAAAACAAATAAACAAATAACCAAACACACAAATAAACAAGTAAACAAATAAACAAGTAAAGCAATAAACAATTGAACAAATTAATAAATAAACAAATAAACAATAAAACAAATAAACAAAGAGACAAATAAACACATTAACAAATAAACAAATAAACAAATAGACCAATAAGCGAATAAACAAATAAACACATAAACAAATAAACAAATAATCAATTAAACAAATAAACAAATAAACAAATACACAAATTAACAAACAAACAAATAAACAAATAAACAAATAAACAAATAAACAAATAACACATATACAAATAAATTAATAAAAAAATATACAAATAAACAAATAAAAAAATAAACAAATAAACAAATATACAAATAAACAAATAAACAACAAAACAAATAAACAAATAAACGAATACACAAATAAACAAGTAAACAAATAAACAAATATACAAATAAACAAATAAACAAATAAACAAATAAACAAATAAATAAATAAACAAATAAACACATTAACAAATAAACAAATAAACAAATAAAAAAATAGACCAATAAAAAAACAAATAAACTAATAAACGAATAAACAAATAAACAAATAAACAAAAAAATAAACAAATTAACAAATAAACAAAAAAACAAATAAACAAGTAAACAAATAAACAAATATACAAATAAACAAATAAATAAATAAACAAATAAACAAATAAAAAAATAAACAAATAAACAAATATACAAATAAACAAATAAACAACAAAACAAATAAACAAATAACCAAACACACAAATAAACAAGTAAACAAATAAACAAATATACAAATAAACAAATAAACAAATAAACAAATAAATAAATGAACAAATAAACAAATAAACAAGTAAAGCAATAAATAAATAAACAAATAAACAAGCAAAGCAATAAATAAATAAATAAAAAAAGTAATTAATAAATAAATAAATAATTGGAATTAAAATGTAAATTAGAATGTAATATAAGTTGCACAGGTTTTCTGGGAAAAATATACAAAAAATTGATTTTAGTAATTTCAAGAAAAAAAAAATGGTAGAAACGTGAATAGGGAATGGGTAACGGATGTAATTTCGGCCTAAATTCCCCTAATTTGGGCCCATACAAAAATATCCATTAGTACCGTCCCAATGACGCATTCATCTAGATAAAATTGATAAATAGCAGATTTTTAGCGATGGACCCAATCAAAGATGCATAGGTGTTGACTTATGTTAGAGCCATTTCCTCTATTTAAAAAATTTGTAACTAGCTGATGCCCAACAGTTAAGGCCCAAGCACAATGACGGCGGAAGCGGAGCAGTTGCTAGAGACTCCTCAAACTGGGTCTCAGTATTAAATAATTGCACTTCACTTCACTAGGGGCCTGCCTTAGCTTAGTCGTTGAAGGCGCAGCTATAAAGCAAGACCATGCTGCAGGTGGCTGGGTTCAATTACCGGTCCGGTCTAGGAATTTTTCAGATTGGAAAATTATTCGACTTCCTTGGGCAAAGGGCATTGTACTGTCACACAATTATACTAATGCAAAAATGGTACAGTGTTTCTAGAACGCTAAGTTGAGAGCACGCAATAAGCTAATATGCGATAAGCAATAAGCTTGAAATGCGAGGAAGAAGAACTACGCTTCACTATTATCTCCTGGTCTTGGTCACACGGATGCCTGTTTACTTCCACCTAATCTTTCAAATCTAAGCTGGCTATCATCAATCAATTTTTACAATTCGCTTTTCAGCATATACGCATTAGACTGATGCAAAATTTGAAATTTTCGCTCCACAGTGCTCAAACGGTTTCAAATCAGGTCCTGATTAGCCTCTTAAAATGTGAACTCATTTGTTAAGAAACTGATCTGGCACAAACTATTCGAAGTTTATATGGAAATTACTATGGGTAAACAAAACTTTTTGTTCATTGTCTTCTACCACCTACCCATTTTCCATATTGCTTTTTCGAAAAATTCTATAATTTTTCTTACGGAAAATTTTCTAAGCTACAACTTTGCCGAATATCGTTTTCCAGCCAAACGTCAAATTAAATTGTTATTAATTGTTTAAGAGATTGATAATCTTATGGCATGGTCAAGCAGCTGTTCTGTGGGCAACACTGTATTCTGCAGTGTGACATAGTAGCCATGATATTTGTGCTCTATTCTTCGCAGCAGAAACTCCAATGTTGCATGCTGAACAATTGAATGAGCATAACATAAGACATCAGTGACTTGAATCATTAATAAATTTTGTTCCTTACATTTGATTGAAAAGTGGTTTTGAACAAAATTGTAGCTGAGAAAATTTGCTACAATCACTGCTATCATTTTTAAAAGCATAGTGATGTAGTGAATTGTAAGATAGATATGAACAAAAACATAAGTTTTCCCATAGTAATTCCCATATAAACTTGAAAAGGTTTGTGCCAAGTCAGTTTCTTACTAAAGTAGTTCAAATTTTGGGAGGCTAAGCAGGACCCAATTTGGAACCGTTTAAGCACTATGGAGCGAAAACTTCAAATTTTGCATCAGTCTAATGCGCATCCATTTTTAGCTTAACTACTCCCTTCAGTATCGTTTGGTTTTGAACTTTTCAAAAATTTGCATTTTTAATTATCAACGGTTTTTTTTTTAATTTTTACTTGAAATAAAAGAAAGTTCCAGAAAGACATTATTTTCCGCTACAACTTTGACTCAAACGTCGCCGTTCAACATTTTTTTGAAAAATTTCAAGGATGCCATATGAAAATTTCACAAAATTCAAAGTGATCAAATTTTAGCAAAAAATGTGAATTATTGCCCATAACAAACAATTACGCAAAGCTTCATACAAATCGGAGTAGGTCGATTAAAAAATTCAATTGTTTTCGCTGTTTTGCTTGGAACTTCTCATGAGCAAAATCAAAATCTGAGGGATTATTTTCATCACAGGAGTCTACTTTCCAGATCAAATACTGTCAGAAGCAGCATGAAGCACCTGTTTGTTTGAAAATATCCCAAAACATCGTCAAAAATTTAGAACGCTGTACGAATGGACACTTGCGTTCTGCAATTACTTGATCAGAAAAATCAAAATGGATTTTTGCATTGAATATCATTTGTCTTGCCCCATGTTATTTTATGAATATTGCGGTTACATCAACAGATTTAACACTCCATCAGAAAAATAAAAACAAGTTTAATTATCTAGCATATCTCGTTAAACAAACTCGTTGAAAAGCGCAATCAACCCGATACACCAAAAGGGTTTGCACATCTCACGTTCCGTCCCGACGTGCGCCGTTGTTGTTCTTGTTGTTGTTTGAAACTCTGGTAAAACTCCGCAATTTTTATGTTTTCCACGTGCATCGCAGCAGTCGCCGTTCGTCCCACCCATCACCGGACCACTAGATTTATTGTCCTTTCCATGTTTCTTTGCGCATTGGCCGACCGTTGAAAAAAAAACAAACAAACGAAAAACAAGGTAACAACAGTGAATCGTGGCAAAACTTTTCCAAAATAGCGATAAATACTGCGAAGCCCAGTTGAAAATGCGCATCCTGAAGGCAGTTAATTAAAAAGTCGTTGCTTCTGTTGTTCCTTTGCGCGCTGCCCACTTATCGGTTCCATTAGGCGATGAGAAAAGTTTTCCCTTCACGTGCTTATCTTGTTTCTCGGGAAAAATTGCCAATTTTTACAAAGTGTCTCCCACGTATTTCCTTTCCTTTCAGCAGATGATGACGATGGACGTCACCAAGCCGGAACCACCGTCGGGCGGTGGTGCCGCCGGACTCAGTGGTGGCAGTGTTGCCAGCAACGGACCGAACGGATCTCAGCAGAACCCGGGCGCGAGCGGTCCCGGTCAGAACGGCATCAACGGCAACGGACCGCACAGTCACAACCACAATCAGCAGCTCTGTGCCGGGTGCGGTAAACACATCCAGGATCGGTTCCTGCTGCGGGCGCTGGATCTGCTGTGGCACGAGGATTGTCTCAAATGCGGTTGCTGCGATTGTCGCCTAGGGGAAGTCGGTTCAACGCTGTACACCAAGGGCAATCTGATGCTGTGTAAGCGGGATTATCTGAGGTAAGACAGGGATGACTTTGGAATGTTTGAATGTTGGCAGATTGATGAGTTAATTCAGTTTGAAAAATTCCAGACTGTTTGGCAACACGGGCTTCTGCGCCGCGTGCAACAAGGTGATACCGGCCTTCGAGATGGTGATGCGGGCCCGGAACAACGTGTACCATCTCGAGTGCTTCGCCTGTCAGCAGTGCAATCATCGGTAAGTCCCTCTCTCGCTTGGATATCATTTATTTACGTCGGGTACCGGATGCTATTTCTATTTTTTTTTTGTTTTGGCGGGAGGACGACAAAACAAAAGGCTTCCGGTTTTGAGACATGTGAAATGACATTTAAAATTCCGCAACCTTCATTGTAGACTTTTGGGTTCGGTTGGGTGTCCAAATGGCTCTGGAGGGAAATCAGAAAACCATTTTGCCGGTCGTTGCCAAGCGGCGGGGGCGAATGGTTTTTTGATGAATACGTAATGTGACTTATGCGAGAGAGAGAGAGAGAGAGGATCTCGCGGGGAAGGGATGGAAGAAACTGACCTTTTGTTTGTCGGAATAGGACGTTGCGTGGAAGAATGATAGGGGAACGGTATTCGAAGAAGTTTGTAATAACATTAACAATTTATCATTCCGGATTCGGGGAAACGACGAAGGAGCTTTTTGAGATGCGTATTTTGAATGTGGCTACTGTGATTGTGACAGGATGTGTCAAAAACTGTGGAAAATTGATTTTTCCCTTTTCAATTCGAGTGGTTTGCCTTCGGGTTGGGGAATGAGGGGTTTTCGGTGTGATTAATGATTAGTTGAGAAATCTTTTGAGGACGAATTATGAGAGGTGATTAGGTGGAATAGGGCTATTATTAAATTGATGGTGGGCAATGTCTTTGTGAGTGCTGCTACTGACGGCATCTAGAGTTTCAGTTGTTCGTAAAAGGGCTATGAATTTCGCTTTATAATACTTTAAATTTCAAGTCTTTCGAATCCGAACGTAGAAATTAAATAGAGAGATTAATTATATGCATGTGGGGGTGGTGAAATTTGTGCCGGGCTACGGAAAACACATGGTAGGCTTACGAAGGGCCTGCTGATCACACCTAATGATGTTCATGGCGAGAAAGCAGAATTTCAGTTTATTCAACCAAAAACAGGATTTTGCAGCTAACAAGAAGTCCTTCTGCTTTTGAGCAACAATGATGTTCATGAAGAACTTTCACAGTATCAACACGAAGCGTTTCCACAGCCAATAAACGTGGTATAGTTTTGTGGAAGCAGTGCTCATAAAAATCATTTCTTCTACACTCAACTGAGCTAAAAATGAAGACAACCTTAACACATAGACCAACTACCTGCATGAATTTTAATTTTGACATGTAAACATTCTGTTGATCAAGGCAACCTCTGATTCTCTTGGTGGGGATGATTTTGAAGATCAATTACAACATGATTATAAATGAAAAAAAAAAACAGACCCTGGGAGGAAGCACTTTTACAGATTCTAAACGAGGTGCACTCGTAGCCTCTAAATGATGAGCTCCCACTGCCTCTAGAAGTAGATATATTTGAAAGTTTAGGAGGGTCTAAAAAAGCGTAGAACAGTATGGGCAGGATTTAAACAGATCCCATGTTTAGCGTTTAGGGTTTTATGAGGGTTCTGTAGAATATGATTTAGACTTGTAGCATGTTTTATAACCGTGATAAAATGTTCCGTGTCTATGTGAAGGAGTACGAGGTCCAGCCCCGTGGTGCCTTTCTCTTCATTATCCGAGGTGATCGTTCTAGTGCAGGACGATGGAGATTCCAGGCGTTCCTGTTGGATATTTTAGACGTCCCTGATTTATATTCGAGACGATCCTGATGGAGATTCCAGACGTTCTCGAATATGATCTCAGACAATCCCGATGGGAGGTCCTGGGCGTATCCGACAGAGGTTTCAGACGTTTCTGACTTTGATTCGAGACGTTCCCGACTAAGATTCCAAACGCTACGACGTTTTCAATGAAGATTCTAGACTTTCCGGACGGAAAGTTGAGAAGTTCCTAACTTGGATACCAGACGTTCCTGATTTATATTTGAGACGTTCCTGACGGAGATTCCAGACGTTATCAAAGATGATTCCAGACATTCCCAACGGAGGTTCCCGGCGTACCCGATGGAGGTTTCAGACGTTCCTGACTTTGATTCGAGGCGTTAAGGTTCCAGACGATCCTGGTGATGATTCCAGACGTTCCCGGTTGAAATTCCAGACGTTTTCGATGGAATTTCTAGACTTTCCCGACGGAAAGTTCAGCAGTTCCTAACTTGGATGCCAGACGTTCCTGATTTATACTCGAAACGTTCCCGAAGATGAATCCAGTCATTCCCAACGGAGGTTTATGCTATTTTTGACTTTCACTTAAGTTTGACACTGAGAAAATAAATTATCATGTTCGAAAATCCCTCTGTTGTTGATCGTCCGGTTTTCGAGAAGGAGTTCGTCAAAACCGATGTCTGGTCTGTCAGATATTAGTTGGTACAATAGCAGGTTTGTTTGAAAATTTTCCATCTGTTAAATGTTGTGAAAAATCACCAAATAGAGCACAGCCTTAGACTAGCCCTGCGCCGAATGTTCGGCAGCCATAGCATTCAGCCGTTTGAAATGAAAGGCCTGAATAACAGGAAACATTTTAATGTAGACACCGAATACCTGGCCGAATAGCACTATTTGGTGGAGCTCTACTCCAGACGTGCCCGATGTATATTCCGGACATTTTTGGCGGAGATTCTAGACGTTTTTGACGCTGATTTAATTTTTTTCGGACTTGGACTCAAGAGGCTCTCAACGGAGGTTCCAATCGCTCCCGACGTAGGTTGCAGACGTTTCCGAAAATGATTCCAGACGTTCCGAGAAGAGACTTTCCCTACTTGGTTTCCAGATGTTCACGACGTGAAGGATCAATTTGTTTTGTACGGAAAACACGGCTCAAACGTAAACGAGAATATGATTTGAAGATTCCAAAAGCATTCTGGATGTTCCCAACTTGGTATCGAGACGTTCTGAACGGAGGGTCCAGACGTTACCAAAAAGGATTCGAACGTTCCCGAGTTTTCTGACGATGATTCTTGATTCTAGATTAGTTTCTAAACGTTTTGATAATCTCTCACATGGAGGAGATTTCGAACATTTTCGATTGGAATTAAAGACGTTCCCGACGGAGATTAAATACGTTCCCGAAATGGACTCCAGACGTTCCCGAGTGCTGTTCCAAACACTTTTGATGATGATCCTAGAAGACGTTTCCACCTTGGTTTCCAGGCGATCTGAACGCAGGTTTCAGACGTGAATCATCGCGTCCCGATGTCAACTACTGCAACCTGTTACCATGGTAACCAATAACAAATCTTAGCAGCCAGTTTTACGTGGAGTGAAATTTTTTGATCATTCGTTGATTGGTCTCGCAGTTTGTAAGAAGTTTTCCTCAAGTAAATAGTTTTAAACCTACACACTTATACACCTACACACAGTGCGAAACCGAACTTTTTGTCAGTGCGAACCTCAACCTGAGCTAGGTTTTAAAAACAAACGAGCAAACTGACGTTTGTCAGAAAACAACCAGACCCAATCTTGATACCCGATCCAGGTTGGAACTGAATAATAAACGAATTCGCTATTAGAAATAACTACTTTCACACGAGACGTAATCCATATTGGACGTAAATCATGGAACGTAAACAAACATTTCATGTTCTCAAACCGAAACATAAGCAACTTGACGAAAAGAACGTATGATTGAATTGATTTCGTCGTTCCTTTCAACTGATTCTTATGTCAAAAGGGCCGCTTACATGTGTCGGTCTCAGGAAACCGAAATGTACACGTAGTGTGTAGTTAATCTCGTTTAATTATTGTGCCGTAAAGAGCTCAGTTCGTGTCGTGTTTTGCTGAGGGAGCCTCTGGCAAGTAACCTAAAATTACTTCCCCAACAAACAGCCAGTCTTCAGGTAACCAAACCCTCGGCCGTCATTGAACAGGACTGTTTCAGAAGTATCTAGAATATCCTACGGCAGCGTCTGTAACCTCCACCGGGAACGTAACAACAAAAATCAAGCCGAAAAAGAAAATTTAAGACGGGAACAATATGAATCGAAGTTGGGAACGTTTCCCTGCCGAGAACGTTTCGAATATCTTTCAGGAATATTTAGAATCCTTTTTCGAAAATGTCTGAAGCTCCCGCCGGAAATGTCTGGAATCTCTATCGGGAAAATTATCGAAAACGTGTGGAAGCTCCATCGGGAACGTGTGGAAATGTCCAGCACCTGCAATCCAAGGGCACGTTCGAACTCCGTTTAGAACGTCTTAAACATGGGGTGTTTACATATGTGCTGATTAACTAGCGCTAGTGTACTAAAGCTGTACTAAGAAGTAGTCATCATAATGTAAACAGGGCATCAGCATCTACCAGCATGAGATTTCAGGAACAACTGAAATTTGTGCTTGTTGGTTGAGCTGGTTGAGCTGGTTGAACTAGTGAACTAGCATAAATGTAAATACTCCTTCAGTTGCGTCTGGAAACCCAATTGGATACGTCTGGAATGTCATCTGGACAATACATGCGGATATTTTTGATTGCTATTGAATAGTTGACAAAAAATACTTTTCTTCGAAATAAATGAATAGGGCGAATATTAGGGACATTTAGGCCGATATTAGGGACACTAACTCTACGCGAAAATCAGGAATTTCCAACGAAAACGTCTGGAACCTCCGTCAGAAACATCAGGAGTCTCCGCCGAAAGCGTCACCAATTTAGGTCAACAACGCCTTGACTCCAACTCGGGAACGTCTCTAATCTCCTTTGGAAAAGTCTGGAATCTCAGTTGAAATCGATTGCAATCTCCGTACGCTGCTGTACGAGATGGATAGTCACATCCGGAGCCACTAGGACTGGAATGCAACGGAAGCGCTTTGGACCAGATTAAAAAAGTTCCGCATTGTCCAGATCGCGGGTCGCTGATGGACTGTAGGCAGTTTCTGAATGCGAAGCTTTGACATCCTTGAAATGAGGATCTTGCTCAGTTTCAAAACGAGGTTCTTCCACAGATTCAAGGCAAGATTTAGTCTCTATAAGAGGCACTTTTACAGCCTCTTGAAGAGGCACTTCTACGGCCGCTAAACAATGCGCTTCTACAGCCTCTAGAAGCCTTTAGATGAGGCGCTTCTGCAGCCGCTAGGAGT